TATATATCATGAAATGTGTTTTACGGAATACGTTTCACGATATATATATGATGACGAGACGACTGAGCTTAAGGGAATATAATTTTCAAAATGTCACGAAAGTCACGGGACAAGTCCTTCCAGTCTATATTTTATAGGAACACTAAGCGACAATCGCAATGCTTGTTTTTCTAACTAGCATATTGTTTGCTCTCAGCACCATGATGCGGGCGACGAATCATGCGAAAAGGAGTGGCTGAAATTGTTCACTCTAACCTATGAGCACCTTAGTACTGAGATCGAATCTGACCTAAAACAGTGCTTACCATGTGAACATTTTCTTATATTGGATAAACTGGCATAGCCTGGATGTTGAGGTTTGCTCTTGACAAAATGCAGGTCAATTTAATTTGCAAATAAGCATCACCCTCGCTAATTGATGATTTTTGTTAAATAGAACAAAGTGGTATTTCATGCTCTACTCAATTCGGAAGCTACCTAATTGGACACTTTCTGAGAGTTTAAGTGTGCAATCGTCATAGTTCCACCATTCGTTCCAGTAAAAAAAGGCGATAGTAAAAACACATAAAAAACGCGATAATAAACTTCTATATATTTGAGAAGTTATATATGCGTGAGGAACACATATAGTTATTTAAATTAGCTTCAAAATAATAAAAAAAACATTATTTAAAGCTTTTCAAAATCACCTATAACGTGTCTATAGAGGATAAAAGCGCTGAAAAATATTTGCCGAACATCTTTCAGATAATTTAAAGGCGCATTTACTTATATATCTTGGAGGTGAGAATCTTCTATTTATGCTGCCAAATCTTCAGACAGGAATTAAGTATATTTTTATTATCATCGATAAATTTGACTTTATGAAGTTCACATAACCGCCTGAGACCGACACGGAAGGACGATACTCGAAAATACGCCAGCTGTTGTGTCTTCGGCAACGTGCTTTTGTTAGCTGTTTTGCAGTGTAAAATAGTGGGTTGCAGGGCATGCCAAAAAACACTGTCGTCATATGATATATCGGAATAGGCAAATACACGAGATGTGCAGAAATAAGGAGATGACACGCAATTTTTTCTAAATAATCTCTTACACAACGCTTTACTGCAAAAAGAAATGCATAGAAGTGCATAAAATGATATTCCTAATTAAACATAGATTCCGCGCAGGGCAAACAAAGATTTTTTAGAATCCTAATATAAATCACTTTTGGGCATCAGCTTGCCTCAGCTCGAAACGTCGCGGGATACTACCTCGGGAGGCTAATGTTATCTTAGGTTTTACGTGCACTTGTTTTGAGACCTTACTTCATGACTCTGTTCTTTATCAGTCATGTGCTCCAACATTTCGTTAGGCTGCCGTATATCATCGCGAGACTACTATAAATACTACACAACTTTACACGTTGGACGTCTACTGCTGGTGTTGCGAACGTCGCACTTCACCAGAAAGCTGAAGTATTTAACATGGTTTGCACGTGACGTAATCGCACTAGATACTGGTTGTCATTGCGAGTTGTTCTTGCTGAGAAAATCAAATCCGGTTTGGCAAAATGCACGCTGCAAAAGTTTCGCGCTCAGTGCAAGCTATGTATTTGATAGGCACACATTTTTCTTGTTGGTACATCGTCGTTAGGCACGGCGCGAGTATCTGGCACGACGAAAACGTGCTTTCTGGCAAGAGTGTTTTTACAAATAAAAGTTGTACCAACTACCCATCTGTCACTACCGTTTCCAGGCCACGCTTTGTAGTCTGCGCCGAAAATGCGGGGCAGAGGAATCTTTACGACACAGTATGCTTTAAAACTACCCCCGCCCCACTCCCTTTTTTTTTAGTTGCTCCTCAAGATACTTTTTATTCCTCAAGGATTGCCTGCTCCGTATTGAGTGGTGTTCACTCGACAATTATATTTGTGTCACTTGTTAACAGTAATTCTTCCTTGCTTTAACTTTGCACCCAACTGTGAAGGTTAAACAAAATACAGGGCGGTCGAAACTTGGAGAACTTGAGAACGACACTCCTGTGAGACTTAGAGCGGCTGCCAACGTTCGGCTATCCCCGTGAGGCCACTAGGATCATTCTTCTCAGGTATCCCTCCCGTACACACTAATAGTTCCATGTAACGTCGGACTAATACGTCACATTTAGACCCTTTAACACTTCTATTCTCGGGACAACTTTCTTAGGCAGTTCAGCAATAACGAAAACATGTTTGGGAGCCTCAATGGTGTGCATACATGTAAAATGGGTCGTGCAGCATCTTTTTTTTTTTTACCTTAAGTTCAATAAATACCGCTAAGTTGTAATCCTTGACGTTGATAACTTGCAAAAGCATCCATTAGTTTGCCCTTCCGCGAAATGGCAGACAGTCGAAAGAAAGAAATGAAACAGCTTTCCCCTCCTCCACTCACAATTAGAACTATCAGCCACATGATCTGATCCTAATATATACACCGTCAGTGTTTATCATAGTCATACGCAGGGTTGGCAAAGCAGAGAGCATGGGCTGATCTTCAGATATAATTTTAGTTGGGCTATAATGCCCGAGCCCCACTAAAGCGACAAATAGAAACAAACGACAGCGGCTAGCCTTAAACCAGAGTATTTCGCAATTTGACAAGCTGTGTAGAATAAAGAAGGCTATGCTCAAACACGAGTATCATGCACACGATGGTACCATTTGCAGGCTTGTAAACACTCGTGCTAACTTCGCGAGCACCGAACAACTCAAAGCCGTATAAAGGTACCATCGCGAACATGCTGCATGTGTCTGAGGCTTGTCGCTTTCGTTTGTTTCTGTTTCTAGCTCTAGTGGGACTCGGGCCCATCATAATCTTTGAGTTGAACACGAGCGTTACCCGAATGTTTGGCGATACTGGTTGTCATGAACCAGAGCATTTGACTCGGGATCATGACAATCGGGTACATCATGGTGTCACGTGACTCTCAGTGCGAAGTTGTTATGTCATGTGACGTCACGGTATCAACAACGTTAATAGATCTAGCGACGTCCTCAATTCGAATCGACTTAACGCGGTGAGTCAGGTGACGTCACGGGGTCACGTGATGTGACATTACTTGACAGCATGTCTTGACATCATGACGTCACGTGACATTGTGACACATGGCTAATCATAGTGCCAATAAGAAAGCGCCGCAAAAAACCAGGATTTATTATACATTGCAATTCTGTATATGACGATTTGATCAATACGTAGAGGAATACACGTGACAATAATAATAAATTTGTAATACTAACAAAAAACAATACCGTGAACAGTTTTGAACCGGTTACCGTTATATTTTTTTCCGGTTCAGTTCCGGCTCAGTTCCAAGATGGCGGCGAAGTTTTGGGTTCGGTTCAGTTCCGGTTCGGCTAAAAATAACGGTTCTGTTCCGGTTTTCGGTTCGGTTCGGTTCCGGTTCGACACCCTGCCATGCACGCCTCAATATTTTATTGATGTTGGGTCAGTTTATTGTTTTACAGTGTTTATATTGCTTTTTTTAACCATAACTCGCTGATACCAAAGGTCTACGAGCCACACTTCATTAGGAACAAAGAACCGCTACTATTTTGTGATTTAACATAGCATGACACAACGACGGCAACTTTGGTGGTTTCTGTGCGGCAACCTATGGTTTCAGAGGTTTGAAAATTTTACCAGATATTCTGACCTCTCCTAACAGTTCATGCCCAAAACGACACCATTTTCTTACTGGTTCGGTGATTTAGCAAACAAGACCAGCGATAAAGCGCTTAGCCACAAAGAGGATCGAGGTGATGTTTCCAATCACCGCTCCTTTGGCGTCTGTTAGTGCTGACATGGTTGTATCAGAACGGTCCAACGTTTGTGAGTGAGGAACTCAAAATATGTTTAAGGAAAAATGGCACCATATGTTTGTTCTTAACCTTGCTATAACGTCCTGCTTTCAAAGGGTACAACCGAGCATCTGAAAAAGATAATACAGCCGAAGCTGTAGATGGCTGCATTGGATGACTCATTCACAGATAGCCAGATTATTGGTGTCTTACAAAACAATGTCATATTAAATGATTAGCTGTAGTCCTGGTGAACTTTCATTGGTCTGGAAGTTCAAGACTCTGCTAGGGTAGCTGCGGGCAACATTTCTTTAACTACAAGACGTGTAAAGCATCCTCATCACAAGATGCGGAGCAACAGAAGGTTAGCTGGATATTAGATGTCCAGCCAAGGTGCAGGCTTTGCCTGAAATGTTTGATTTGGCCGCAGCAAGGTGCAAGAATATTCGACCAGAAGTTTCCATTGTTAGTGTGACTACTGTATGGTGGCTCGTAGACCAGGAATCAGGGTCACATATGCGCATCACTGAGGCGTCCTAGCTCAACATGCTACCTAGGATTCCGTTTCATGACTTGCCAAAGCATGCATATGCTTCGTTTTCAGGTCCCTTTGATGCAAAACGGAGGGCAGTTTTAAAACAAAATGACGAGCCCGTCATGTTGAAAGAGGACATATTATCACGTCTTTGAAAATTTTGCTCCGTGCTGTCACGTGGAAAGAGAAAAGTTATGCGAAAAGTGGTTCGAATCGAAGAGCGCTACGTCAGTTGTAGCCTTCACAGTGCCAAAGAAACTCACGACGTGCAGGCTATCTTTGCATTTCGGATTCGGGGATGGCGTTGCCTTAATAGACTCGAACCAACGTTGGCATCACGGTGGAAGGAAAAAGACGTGTCGGAACAAGCCCAGAAAAGGGGTGGCAATTCCACTCGGGCTTCGCGCATCTCCCGGTGGGGCACTGCAGGGTTGAAACTCGGCCTTGGAAACGTGCGCCCGCGAAAAAAAAAAAAAAAAAAAAAAAGCACGGTTCGTCGAGTCTCTGTCAAGTTGCGCCATCTGAAGGCGTTTGTTAAAAATGGGAATGAACAATAGACCCAGTTTCTCCGTGGCAAGTCGGCGACGTTAATACACCTCAATCTTCTTCCGCCGTGGTTGGCACACCCCTATAGCAACGCCGACATCAGAGCCAAGGCGCCCCCAATCCGTGGTGGTACTTCGGGAGACCCCTGGGGTCTACCGGTAAATTGGCCGGTGGAACCATGGTCGCTGCGTAGGCTGCGAGCTTTTGCATCATCTCCTCGAGTTCCTGCAAAAACAACATCAACAAAAATGAGACACTCAATAGTGTTGACGATTGGGCTAGTTGGTCATTCATATTAGCGGAAAACAAACAGCGCAAGGACAAGGACAGAGTAGAAGGCGGAGACACTCAAGTGTACCGATTGCATGGGGTAACATGCACAATGACAAAAGGCGCAGTTCAAATTTTTATTTACTTTCCCAGAGCCGCGTGTTTCGATAGGTGACCGTAAAGAAAAAATCTGACAGGCGTGGTTTATCATGGCATAGCCTCCTCTATACTTACAAAGCCTGGGAGTTCGACGGCGGAGTCATAGAGGGCCCGATCTGGTAGCACAGAGACCCTCTCGGTGAGCATGCGCTCAGCGCACAGCTTTTGCAGCGGCGAGGACCCGGAACATATACCCGTTTTCAGCTGAAGAAAAAAGTGGGTGTGTCCCTCTCGTCGCATGCTTATTGGTCGCATACCGTCGCACATATTATTCCGTTCTGCGAAGTAGTTCCGATAAAAGTTTGCTCTCTGGAATGCTAGCGTTATTTAAGCTTAAATAAATTTGTTATTCTCAGTAGGATAAATAATACACCTCCTTAGTATACGCGTGTATTCACGTAATTCAACGCCTCACAACATCTGAGGATCGATGTTCGTAGCCAGCCGGCCAGCCGCTGTTGCTCGCCTTCCAAAATGGCGACTCCAACAGCTCTGGCTGACCGGTCTGTGATGTCAGCACTCCTTCCTGAAGACGTTTCCCCTCGGGTGTACTACAAACGTCACGCAAGTGGAAATGTCCTGTCGAGCCAGACAAGGCAGTGTGTTTTGAACGTTTATTCTTGGATGCGGCGGCAGTACCAAGAAAAAAATGTTGTGGAAGTCATCAACCTGACTGCCGCCGCAACGGGGATCAGTGTTAGTTCGGTCTACGAGATCAAGCGTGGCTTCAAACGAGCCAACTGAGCTGTGAAATCTCCTTCAAAGAAGCGCCCGAAATTCGCCGAGAAAAGAAGAGGATTTCAAATCACGACGCGTGCACTTTGACAGCCGTGAGAAGCTGCCTGCACAGTTTCTTCCGTCGGGGGGAGATCTCAACGTTGAAGAAAATCGCCGCTCGTCTCCAAGAAGACAACGTGCTGCCGTCCTGTTCCGGGTCTACCCTGTATCGCCTGCTGAAGGACATGGGTTTCGAGAAACAGAAACGGAATCACAACTCTTTCCTGATTGAGAGAGAGGACAGCGTCGAGTGGAGGCGGTGGTATTTGAGGGCAATCAGAAAGCACAGAGCCCAGAACCGCAAGATCTACTTCCAGGACGAGACTTGGGTGAACGCCGGCCTCAGAGTTGACAAGGTGTGGACTGACAGCACCATAAAGTCAGCAAGGCAAGCCTTCATGTCTGGATTGACGACCGGGCTAAAGGTTCCTTCTGGAAAAGGTGAAAGAGTGATTGTCACCCACGCAGGTAGTGACACTGGCTTCGTGTCCGGCTGCCTGGACGTGTTCCGTGGGAAGAAGAAGGGGGACTACTACGATGAAATGGACTCGAACAGGTTTGAATCATGGTTTCTTCATCTGCTGGACCACATCGAGCCTAACAGCGTAATTGTTATAAACAACGCGCCATACCACAGCAGAAAGGCTGAAGCTGTTCCCACAACTGCAACAAAGAGGGGCGAGATCCAGCAGTGGCTCTCTTCCAAGAACCTAGACTGGACTACCACAATGAAGAAAAAAGACCTTCTGAGCATCGTGGCAACGGTGAAGGATCGCTACACAAAGTGCAAAGTTGACGTCATGGCTACGGACGCCGGACACACAGTGTTGAGGCTCCCACCGTACCATTGCGAACAAAATCCCATTGTGTTGATATGGGCACGAGTCAAGCAGAAGGTCGCCTCCAAGAACATCACATTCAAGCCCAACGACGCCGAGCGGCTCTTGAGGGAAGCAGTGGACAACGTAACAGCTGTCCATTGGCATGACTGTGTAGAGCATGTGAAAAAAAAAAAATAGAGGCGAAGTTTCGAGAATGTGATGTCCCAGAGTCGAACCTCGAGCCAGTCATCATACCCCTCGATGCAAGCGACACGGAGGAGGAGAGTGGAGACGACGACGAAACTGACGACGAGGATGAGGGTGAAGAGATCTCCGGTGTTCAGCCTTTAGAATGGAATTGACCGTGAACTAATGTCCCCCTAGGACATGTTCTCTTCTGAAAGTGGCTAGAACTTTGGACCCTGTTTGTCATACCCCAGAACACAGAGCGGCCCTTTTAAGGACCATTCACATACTGCAAAATCGAATTCCCGGCTTCATACACGCCTAACCTCCAGTGTCATGTTGTTGTCGCGATTCTACCTTTCATTACGTAATAGCCTTGTTCATGGCTTCTCGAGGTCTTTGAAGTCAGCTGTATGTATCCCACTGTGTACAAAGATTCACGCTACAAAAAAAATTGCAGTTGTACTGCACTCGCTAATTTGCCCATTACAGCAGAGGTATCAGGTGTTATTTTGCCCTTTTGCATTCTAAACATATATGCATACAATTACACTTTAAGGGTCGTTTTCATTCAAGAAAGAAGACGTAGTCTTGGCGGCATGCCGAAAGCCGACCATTGTTCTGAAATGTGACCCTGAGCTTAACATTTTACTTGCTCACCTCGTGCATATTCAGTGTCGCTTACACCTCATTTTGAGGTCTAAACATCAAGTTCAGCCCAGTCTTTCATTGAGATAGCTCCTTCATTGCAGTAATCAGTTCCCCAGGCGGTTTGTGGGAAAGTAAACTCACAAAATGCCATCCACATGCCTTGGGGTCGCTCTGGCAATAAACGTATCTCTCATCCACCATGCTGTTTCAGATTATAATTGGGATTCTTATCGCCATCCTCACACAGGGCCACTCTGGCAACAAGCAGAAGCTTTGATGGGATTCTGGAAGAACGTATCTCACATCAACCATGCTGTTTCTGCTTATAATCAGGATTTGTACCACCATCCCCACACCACGAACTTAAGAAAACGGAATTAAAGCATAAAAATTGAAATTCACCGCGACACACAAGGAAACCGATTGCCCACTCATTACATACACATGAACGTCAACGCAATAACGTAAACTAGAGCCTCTAGTTTACGCAATAACGTAAACTAAAGGCACTAACGTAAACAAAGGTTTATTAGGACAGAATAAACTATGCAAACATGGGTTCGTGGCTGGTAGCAGGTCTGATCAATCCCAGTTCATTAAGTTTGCGGCGATGTCGATGATGTCAGCTGATCTTTTTGCTTTAGCGCTCCATGGTTGCCGTTAAAAACTGTAAATGCACTAAAACTGGCACATACTGATTTTTTTGCTTATAGTGTTTTTAGAAAGCCGACGGTATAAACAATGTTAGATATACAAAGATATGTTTATTGAAGACAGTCTGAAGAAGCGATGCAAAATTGTGCAGAGCATAAGCATGTTTATTAGAAACAAACGCTATTTGACGAGGTATGTTCTAGCTTTTTGCCACTAGAGGATGCTGCAGTGCTAAATTCGTTTTGGTTTCGGTCTCTAATCCTGGATCCCACCACCCCCCGACGGAGAGTGGTTAAGTCTGCGCGATATCGCGGCATTTCATTGGTGGAAACCCAGAACACTCCGCCACCAGCCGGACTTGTTTTACTTCGGTTCTTAAGGTGAAAACGAGTAAAACCCGACGGGAAAAAAAGCGGTAGCCCCGAGGAACGCGAGAAGCACGAGCGGACATTCCATCGCTCGGGAAAGGTGTGTTTCGGCGTCTCGCCGCAGCGGGGCGCCCGTTACATGCCTCTTGTTTGCCGCTCCCTTTTCACTTTCGGCGGCCGCGTCTTGTGACGATCTGCCAGGCTTTGTCGGTAGACTATAATTATAGTCATTTTTTGTGTTTTTTTTTTTTTGCTTCGTGATTCGCGACATTTCTTAAGCCCCCAGTAACTGTACAAGCGTTTAATTTAAATAAAAAAACAACTAAAAAGAACATTCCCATATACAAAGTTCTGGGGCACCTCTTGTACCTAAAATCTAAATTTCCGTCTTTAGCATTGTCGCCTATTTTTTTCGTTTCACCATGTTGATTCGAAAGAAAACTTTAAAATCTAGCCTCCATCTTAAAAAAAAAAAAAAAAAAAAAAAAAAAACTTCAAACTTTAAACTATTGTCTGTAGCAATATTGCCAACTACGGTGAGCGTGATTAGCATAGCGTAGGGCAACGTTTCCCCAGAACTTGATCAATATTATTTCAGTTCTGCGCAAAATAATGTGCTGTCGATTAGTACGAATCGCCCTCAATATAAAGCTCTATATACGGTGAGCAATTTCACAGCAAAACGAGCCTTGTTCTTGACGCTTTTCTTTTGCTTTATAATTATTTTTTAGTATAGAGCACATTAAAGAAGAAAATAAAAAAAAACTCTTTCGCAACCTTGTGTTTGAAATTCGAGGGAAAGTTTCTAAGGGGGTGCACGCCTCCCGTACTTAGACCATGTAGCTCGTTCCAACACAACGTTTTTTTGTAGGGAGCTAGAGGGTAAATGTAGGCTAAATGGGAATGCCAAAATGACTGACATTCCGTAGGTCTCAAATTCGTCTTTCCTCACCCACCTGAAACTTCTTGAGTAGACCCTTTCCAAAACTACATCGAGCAACACTGGGTGCAGCCATATTTCGTGCATCGCTATACCTGGCGCAAAGTGTGTGAGGGAACCCGAGCTCACGCCGATCGGGCGCCGACGCAGCGGTCGTGCCCCAAGACATGGCGGCCTCGGATAACTCACGCTGCAGCTACGAGAGGACGAGTAATTTTTTTAAGGGTCTATTAACTATGTTTTAGTAACCGGAGAGAGTATAGTTTCATTACGGTATTTTCTATTGTAGTAATTCTTTCTTCTCGACCGTTTTATCGACCAACACACTGTGTCCAAACAAGCCCGCGTTTGCCCACACCGTGTGTGGGCATTGTGCTCGCGCGGAAACAAGATTCGCTTTAGGCGATGCATCGGCGCATGCGCAGTGACGACCGCAGCGCCACCACAGTGGCGTGACGTCAGAGAGTTGAGTTGGTCTATAGATAAAGTCGGAACATTGATGGCATTACCCAGAAGCAGGCACACGGGTTTGCACAGGTACCCTGTATAATACGTATCACTTCAAGTCCCACGGCAGCCAACGCTACAGTCCGGTAGAGCGAATCATGCCGCTTCAAAAGTACATCGTCACTTCGCTCCTCGTCTATGTGCGACTGCTATCGCAGAGTATATTTCCGAAGAATGTTCTTACCGTCACGTTCGTGGACGACAAGTTGTCGAGCTCGCAGGGATCCAGCTGTATGTCGAAGTAGTAGGGAGGACTGGCGGCCACAAAGTTCCGCCCGGCGTTGCGCCGAGAACAGTTTACCACCACTTCTTGGCGCCAGTTAGGCCTAACCGCGAGTTCGCGGACGTCGTAGAAGTCCCTGAGCACAGCACCGGTTCGAGAGTCCAGCATCATTCGGTCGAGACCTTCCACGGGTCGCGTGCCCCCTGGCACTGGCGCGCGGCCATCGAACAATCCGCTACGGTACGTTCCAAGGACTACCTTGCGGTTGTCAACGATCAACCCGGAGATATTGTTGACCGGATCGATGTTGAGAAGGATTTCATGTCGCGGAGAAGGAAGGTCTTCGGAGAGGGCTTCCCACATGTCCTTGCCGTCGATATCACCGAGCCTCGACACGTCTCCTCCTGAAATGGATGAAGTGCCAGAGATTGTCCAGCGTTGTATGACGCAGTGTAGCAGTATGCGCGTGACCTTTAAAAGAGCTGCTTTTAGTACGGGAGTGTTACTGAAAATAGATAGCTTGCACGTGGCGTCAACACGTCGTGCCCTTGGTCATTTCTACATCATGTCTGAAAAAATATTCACAGTGTTTTTTTGTTCTTTTCTTTTTTTTTTGTAAAAGTAAATTACGCATTGCCGAACGCTCATTCCCTATCCAAATGTAGCGCTAACGATCTTGAGCAGATGCCAAAATGTCATCACTATCCGTTATCTTGTTCCAAAGATTTTGCCTGTTTTCCGTTACTGGCGCCCGGTAGAACTCCACGTATCCGAGAGCTCTGTTCACCTCCATTTTCGTATTAAAACTTTAATAAGAGTCACATAACTTTCGAATAAAATAACAGTTAATGCTTAAACTTTGCCATCTGGTTCGGTCTGTTAGCGCTACATTTGGGTGTAATAGGCATTCGGCGATGCAAAATTAATCTTTTAAGGGTGGGGGGAGAGGAATTTCGTTTTCATTTGCGAGATAAAAGGCAAAGCTAATGTCTTGTACATTTAACGCCTTTAGAACTGTGAGGGCAAAGGGAGTAATCACTGGACGCCGTATTTGTGGGTGCTGTTTAGAGCGCATGCTCAGAACGAGGTGACATTAATAGGCTGCTAAGATGGCCACTCTTGATGGTGTGCAATGCGGGTTGCAAAAGAACTGTTGAAGCTCGCCCTTCGCACGCGCTCAGCAGTCGCGCACACAGCTATGGCCGCCAGTGAACAATTACAAGCATGCATGGCTCCCCTATTGGTGCCTCACGACTGCAAGCGCGTGCAGCTTCCGAGTGAACATAGCTTTGGCGAGTTTGAAATTGCACGGGCTTGCGCGCACGAGCAGGGGCTTGGAGTGACCTTGCTTGCCATCGTTTATAAAAAGTTTGATTCAGAGAGATTACACCGTTTTGGCATCCTCATTTTGAGTGATACACCAATGTTAATCTGAAAAAAGTGTCTTGCATTGTGTGGAAAAGTTTTCTACAGTCGCCCTTTAAGAACAGGTTTACCGGAAGTTGTCTCAACAACTATGTCGAATGTTCTTTTACTTGTACCAACGAGTTTTACTCGGAGATACATTCCTAGGAGTTAGATATATTAGGCCCTGCGTGATATGTCGACGATAACAAAGCAACATACTTGGAGCCTTCAGAATGGCGCAGACGGTCCCCGCCAGTGGGGACCGTTTGAAGTGTCGAGTGTACAAGGCGTTGGGGCATTCAGCAAGATTGTAGCTCCTTCCTCGTGCGTGACTTACTGCGTCTATATTGGCCGTTTCTGTGCATGCGAAAACTACATTGCGCTGCTTGTTTTTTCTGAATGTGATGTTCCTAAAATATTAGCCATAGAGGGCTGCTAAGATCACCAACCTTCTGTTTGCTCGGTGTTCACCTGCACACTAAGGGTATTTTTGAAATGCCCTTAGACTGCAGGGTGTTCCTGTAATACCCCTTTGGGCGCAGTCTATGGGTGTTTCTGTAACACCCTTAGAGTACGGTCTAATGGTGTTCCTGCAGGGTCTAAGGGTGTTCCTGTAACATACTTAGGGCGCGGTCACACTGCCAGCGCATCATACAAAAGACAGTCCGCAGACATGTTCAAAGCATACATATGTGCGAAGCAAAGGTGCTTTGATCATGCCCGAGGAGTGTTAGCAGATAATTCAGCCATCACATCTGCAACGAACACTATATAGGCACGGCAACCCTGCCGTGGCATCATCGGCTAACGTGCACCCAATCGCGTTCACGCAGATAATCATCGGCTGGATTCCCCTCATCATCGTAGAAGGCATCCTCGCCTGTGAGAGGCTTTGTGGTCATCGGCGACTTACTGCGGAACGGAACAAAGATTGCGCCGCCACTATCTACGCACGTGGCAGGCTTTCCCCGCACAACAGCCCCCAGCGGAATGACGTCATCAGGAGACCCCTGCTTGCCTGGCGAACAGTATATAAGAAACATGCCCTTGGCCCCCAGCTCCAGTGGACACGGCAACCCTGCCGTGGCATCATCGGCTAACATGCACCCGATCGCGTTCACGCAGGTTGGTGATCGTAAATACGGGCTCCGTAGAGAGTACGCTGACTTAGTTGTGTTGCCGTGTCCACGGGTGTTAGGCCAGTGTGTTTATGACTGCCTGACTGTGGCGGGCATGGTACTTAAGCTATCCTGCAATGTTGAAAAGAAACCCGGACCCATAACTTAAAAGATGTTTTCTCAGACTCTCCAGACCCAAAAAAAGATCCTTAAAAAGGTCAACGAAATTCAGGTAAAACAAGACACTTCGGAAATTAATATACAGAAGCTGCAAAACAGGCTGGACACGATTGAGGAAAAATTACAGATCGTCAATGAAACTAGTGGCAGAACTCATCAAATTTAATTTACACTTACCGGTCACGATCACGAAGTTACTTCTTTTAAACAAACAAATCGAGGATCTTGAGAATCGATCCCACGGGAATATTTTGATAATTAGAGGTATCAGTGAGAAATCACCAGAAACCGAAGAAGTCCTGGTAAGAAGAGTAACTCATGAGGTATTTGATTTTATGTTGAAAGTTAGGGTTGATTCCATTGAAAGAACTCTCAGACTTTGAAGGCACATACCCAATACGTTTCGGCCTGTTATTGTGAAATTCGCTGACTTTCGGGATAAAATAAAAATCCTTAACAATTGCTCCAAGCTGAAGGATACCCAAATCAGCATTAACAAGGATTTCTCAAAAAGACTTATGGAAAGACGAAAGAACTTGTGGAACTGTACTGCATTATGAAAGAAAGGAAGGCGCAAAAGCTGGACTGGTTTTTTATAAGGTCGAGGTAAACAACGTTCTCTATGCCTGGAAAGACGTTAAAAAAGAAAGAAATCGGTGCTCGCCATATCTGAGCACACAGGATCAGGATCACTGATGTCACAACAAAGCACGCTTCAAACTGATTAACATAAATGACCGAAGTATTGTACATAAAGTTGGCCCAATTGAAAGCATTGTTCTTGAACACAAACCCCACGCTATGGTAATCACAGAAACGCGGCTGCATTTCAATATTATAGACAGTTGAATTACACCACCAAATTATACCATAATTAGGAAAGATAGGAAAGACGTGGCGGAGGCGTAGCAATTTTGATCAAAAGCGATATTGTATTTACTGCACTGGATGAGGTTAAAGCTATCGAAGCTATATGGGTCCAAATTAGAATGAATGACCGAGTTATAATCGTGGGCCTCCAAATTTCTCAGTTGAATGTTTAGTCAGGTTGAGACAATATATGGACTTGGAATATATGGCCATAATAAAAACATCGTGTTAGTAGCTGATTTTAATTTACCCAGCATTGACTGAATTACGTTTTCGGTGAGAACAGCAGAAGGGGCCAGCTGCGAGAAACTACTGGAAATTGCATTTTGTTATAATTTATTTCAGGTTGTCACAGAACAGACAAGAACGACTTCTTCTGCATCATCGTTACTTGAACTAATCATTGTTTCCACAAACCTAACGTCTCTTCTTTTGGAATGTGAACTTTTTGAAGGAATCTCGGGTCATAAAACGACATGCATGAAGCTAAACTTCTGCAACTGCAAGCTTGATCACCGTCCACATAAAAAAAAAGTTCTTAATTTTAAAGCCGCAGATGACGGTGGCATTTTAGATTATCGTGAGAAATCGCTTGAAGACTTCCAGCTACTCTATCAGTTAGGTGCTGCTACCGACGTTTTGTGGAAATTTTTTGCTGATGTGACAGCACATTGTGTTAGTTTATTTGTGCCTACGCGTATCAAAATAATAAGAAATAAGAACTCCTGAATCACTAGAGAAATTATACATGTAAAACGAAAAAGATGTCGGATGTCGGAGAGATGTCGAAACTAGTGCGATTAAACAAAAAGACTTTAGGAAAATGACACTCCAAAGTTACGAAGAGGTAAACAGCGCCAAAAGTACGGAGAACAAAGAATAAGGAACACACAGACCGAGCGCTGTGTTCCTCGCCCTTTGTCCTCCGTACTTTTGGCGCTGTTTCCCTCTTCGTAACTATGCATAACTAATTCGCCCAATTTTCAACGGTGCTACACTTCAAAGCTTGAGTCACGACCTGAAGAGGCTTGTTAAAGATGCGAAGCATACATTTAACAATGCCACTCTTAAGAAATTTATTACCGAAGCCCCGGCTAAATTCTGGCGGTATGTTAATCCCTCCTAAAAAAGGAAATTACTTCAGACAACATTCAGCTACGAGTAGAAAAATGAAATTCCTTTTTTTTTTTTTTAATTTGTGTTTACTCAAGACAACCAACATTTGCCAGGAGGTAGAAATTTTTCTGATTACCCTCCAATTTGTGACTTATTAATTTAAGAGGAGGGAGTCACTGACCTCCTGCTTAACATAGATGCAAAGAAAAGTGATGGGCCTGACGAAATTCCTAACATGGTTTTGAAGCCGTACGTTGAATCGGTTGCTAAGCATCTTACTATAATTTTTCAGTCGTCTATTAACAATGGTTCCGTGCCAAAAGCCTGGGAGGATTGTCAAAATTTTCCCCATACATAAAGGAGGCTCTGTTTTTTTTGTGTGGAAAACTACCGACCTATATCTCTGATTAACACGTGCTTTAAGCTTCTCGAACACATTGTTTTAAAGCATCTTTTAATGTTCCTTAACAATCACGATATTTTGTTTTAATATCAGCATGGATTTCTCGAAATGTCTTTCCACAACAGCCCAACTCATCGAAACCGTGCATGATCTCTCCAAGCTATAAATAACCGTGGCCAAACGGACGTCTTTTTTTTTTTTGATTTTGCAAAAGCATTCGATAAAGTGTCTCATTTTAAAATTAAAGCCCTGTTTAAGAACCCCATCATTACAAAACTGGTTTTGCTCGTATTTTTCATCGAGAGTTCGATTCGTTGAGTCGGGAGGATGTGTGTCTTGACCCGGCTAGAGTTGTTTCTGGAGTTCCACAAGGCAGTGTGCTAGGACCGCCTTTATTTTTGATATTCATAGATTGCATACGTTGTGGAATATCAGTTACAATTAAGCTGTTTGCAGATGATTGTATTTTGTACAATAAAACAAACTGAACAAGATCAACTAAAACTGCAAAATGAACTCCTCAAAATCGAACGTTGGTGCGATGAGTGTCAAATGGAGTTAAACCCTCGAAAATCGGTCGTTATGTCTATAAAAAAAAACATTTCCTAAATTAAGATTATTTTATAGATGATACCAACCTACCTCGTGTAGACAAAAATGAGTACTTCGGAGTGAGATTTACAAGTGACTTACGATGGAATACCCACACAGAAAAAGTGTCCAGAAACACTAACCAGGCACAATGGTGCCTCAGAAGAAATCTTGCAATGGCTTCGCCAGAAATAAAAACATTAGCTTACAAAACGTTAATGACACCTGCCGCAGAATATCAAAAGTAGTGTGGCACCCATATCCAGTAGCTAACTCGTCCAAACTTGATAGATCCAGTGGCTTGCTTCCAGGTTTATCTTTAATAAATATAACCATATATCGTTCCCCCACCGGACTCTGTAGACTTGCTGAACTTCCTTCTTCTGAATTGAGAACGAAGTGTGACCGCTTGAAAATAATTTTTTTTAATCATTCATGATCTAGTTAAGATAGACTAAAATAAATACATGGACGTACTCGACAGTGAATGCACGAGACATCGTCATAGCATGCACATCAGGGAACAATCTGTCGAAAATGGTTGTTTTAAATTTAGTTTCTTCCCCAGGGCCATAAAGGAACCAAACCAACTCCCTAATTCCGTCGTCACCATGACAAATGTCTGTGATTTTGTTAAAAATATCAAGAGTATATTGCTTGATAATGTACCGTGACTTGACGTTTTGAATGTATTTCTTTTGCTTTTTTTATTCCTGCATGTGAATCGCGTTCTTGAAGTGTCAATGCGTGATTGTTCTTTTGCATCTCTTATGCATTACCACTATTGTAAAGGCCTCGTAGAGAACCGACAGTATATATAAATAAATGAAAAATAAACAATGATGAATTCCTAGGAACAATTTCACTGTGTATGCTCCTAGACGTGCGCGCTCGAGCAGCGAGTTCACGCCAATGGCAGCTGATTTAACGTAACTGAAAACCACGCATTAAACTCTTTGCAAATAAAGATGTCTGCTATGTTTCTGCTTTTAACGCAGGTTGTGTTAAATTGATGACTTCTACGCCGGGGGAAAGTATGGAAAACACAGTAGATGCCTCGCCTTCGGCACGCGCTCGTGTCGACCTTAGCCAGTTGCCAGAGACTAGCTCTAACAGAGACCAGCTGTCTTTTTCTCCTCTGACTGTTCCGATGCGTTCTCTTTCGAAGGGTGGGTAGATAATCTAGACATAATCCAGCTTAGTATGTATGTTGTACTAATTTATATCTAGCGTAGAATCAGTATTCTCAGGTCTACCACAAGAAAGTGTTTTAGATCATCTTCTTTTATGCATATTTAAGCGGTATCTTAAATGTCAACCAAAACGCTAAATTTATATGCGGATGATTCAACACTCATCTACGCTGCTGAGAATAGTGAGGAAATGGTGTGAAAAGTGAATTTATTATTGGATCAAGTATCATTGTGAGCTAACATGAGCACATTAAAAATAAATACGAGCGAAACTAAGGCAATAATACTAAGGCCTAAACATAGAGTCGTCCCTCTCTTAAATAATATAACTTGGAACTCAGTTAAAATTGAATTGGTCCAAACTTTCAGGACACTTGGAGTCGTGTTTTCAAATAATAAGACCTAGGACTATCGTGACACATATTTAAATAAAAAGTTGTCAAAATTGGTAGAAATGATACCTCGGCTTCGTTACAGGCTTTCAAAATCCGTTCAAGTATTGTTATACAACTCGTTATTTTATTCCATTTAAACTACTGTTTTTTGGTTTAGGGTACTACCACCGCGACAAACTGAGAGAAAATGCACCTGATTAAAAAAAACAATGGTACGTGTTATTTATTGCAAATGCGCCATATCGTTCACTCACAGAAATCATTTTCAACATTTTTAACATTCTCAGTATAACCTCCGCAATTATAGGCTATCGACAAGACTTAAAACAGAACTTCGGTATGCCACTTCGTTATTGATGTAATTTGTCAAGCCTACAACAGCACGCCGTAACATATGCAATTCGTGATCCTGATTACTCGGATGTTGCGACATGTCCATTAAACATGGGAAAAGGAACGTTAGCCTACCGAACCCCAATACCTCTAAAAAAATTGCACATCATTATAAAGAAATTGAATTTCAAGGAAGGACGTTCCATTTTGTATAACTACCCTTCAGAAAAAAAGCAAGAAAATCAAGCTGGTCAAGCTGGTTTAGCTGGTTTTTAAGCTGGTTCGAGCTGGTTCAAGCTGGTTCGAGCTGCCACTGGAGCTGGGCAAGAAGGCACTTGAGCTGGTTCGAGCTGGTACTGATTCTGGTTCAAGCTTGTCAAACTGGTTCAAACTGGTCAAGCTGGTTCAAGCTGATTCGAGCTAGCACTGCAGCTGAGTAAGCTGGTACCTGAGCTGGTTCAAGCTTGCAATGCTGGTTCGATCTGGTTCTGAATCTGGCCCAAGCTGATTCGAACTGGTCAAGCTAGTCTTGCTGGGAGCGCGCACTCCAAAGTCAGCTAAAGCTTGTCGAACTGACATTGCCGGGAGCGCGCTCCAAGGTCGGCGGGGGCGGGGACGATGCCACGTCCTCTTCTTTGTCCTCTCGTTTTGGTAGACGACCGAGCGCTTCAGACGCGCTGCGAGCTTCCTTTGTTGCACACAAAGGAAGTTCGCAGCGCAGAGAATAGCAGGAAAGGAGAATTTGAGGCACGTTTCGCTATCTTGGGCAGATTTTCAAAGGGATGGCTGTGTGCGCGTGGTTTGGAGACTACTTCATTGGCGGTGCAAGCGAGCGACAGTCCGTTCAGCGCGAGAAGAAGTCCGATGCCTCGACTGAGGCGTCGTTTTCACGAGAGCGGCCGAGGCGAGTGGGAGAACCCAGAGCCTATATTGGGGGAGAGTTTGGCCAGTGTATGATCCCGCCGCCCTAACGCCCCCCTTCCGAGTGAGCCAATCAGCCCGCGGCGCAGAACTAGAGGCGTGAGCGCATGCGCGTGAACTCCCGGCTACCCCAGCTGAGCGGGGAGGGCCACCATTTTCATTCATTCGCCCCCGGCGGAATGCATGGGATCGACATCCCAATTTCGGTTCTTTCCTTTTTTTTTTTTTTTGACAGACTCTGGCCAGAAAATGATAGAGAGTTATTCCTCGGTGGCTTAAAAGGCTAACGAATGAAGCTGCTCCGCGTTTGAACGCAAACTTTTATTCGGGGGAAAAGCAATAACCATTGCTGACGACGCATAGCCTCAGCCGTGCTCGGCGCCGACAGCGTTGCGTCAAAATGGCGGTAGTCTCCTCTTTGCTCCCTTCTCTCCCTCTCGCTCCTTCGGCGCTCTCCTCCCTTTTCTTCACTTTTCTTCTTTCCGGCGGCTTCGTCGCCACACCCACTGGCCAAACTCTCCCCATATACGGCCCCGGGAGAACCCTGCCCCCTCACTCGACACCCCGCCACGAATCAGCGACCAGCGGCAAAAGACAACGCCAAGCCGCCGCGAAGCGAGCCGGAGCCGAAGAGCGTGTATAAATTAACAGGAACCTTCCTCTTTTCCATCACTCGTAGAGAACCAGCCGTGCAAGTGAACAGCACCATTACGAAGCGAGGGTCGACTCAACTTCCCCGGAAAGGTACGGAGAAGTCAAATGACCCGGCCTTTCTCGACGTCACCCCCGAACCTTCTTCGAACGCATGTACCCTCAGGAACCTCATGCCTCACAAAACTCACGAACTCAACGACCTCATGAACTCACGCGCCTCAGCGAACTCGTACACTCACCGAACTTATGAACTCGGGAACTGACCGACCTCATGAACTTACCAAATTTACAAACTCAAGTCCCTCAACGTACTCTTGAACTCATCGAACTCACGCCCCTCGCTCAACCTCAAACTCAAAATTTTTCGAGGCTTAGAAACTCGCTCACCATCACCTCACACCAGATCGGTGAGGGTGAATGAGGTGAGTGAGTGCGCTCATGAGTGAGTTTTACATAGGTATGCCCACCAATCCTCCAAGCAGAGCTCGGTGCACTGCCGTCCCCGGATATTCTCGTTTCCTCCTCCCCCATACTTTCTACCCGTATACACCAACACACTGTGCTGACGTCACGCTGCTCTGGTAACGCTGCTGTCTTCATGGCACATGCGCAGGAGTTTTGACTCACACGAACCTGGTTTCTGCGCCCACGTGTTTGCCCACACGTGGTGTGGGCGAACACTGGCTTGCTTGTGAACAGCGTGCTTGTGTGTACATTCTCTATTACCATTCCTTTTTCCACGATAGTGGGAGAACGGGGAAATGTTTTCACGTGTGTTTTAGATTGTTTTAAAACAAAAAGTGATACTTTCCGGCTGCAGAATAGAGAGTGGGCAACCAGTCGGTGATGCGCATCATCTGGTTCGAGAGTCGACCTACTCTCGACAGCAGGGGGCTCCAGACAAAGGCTGCTCCCCTGACGCCTCCTTCCCACAGGGTCGCCTTGCCGCCCCGCAGAGGCCAGTTGAAGCCACTGTTGGAGTCATCACCCCACGGAAGACCTCCGTTGTCGGTGCTGAAGGCCACGACGCTGTTCTCCAGCATTCCTTTCCGCTTGAGTGACTCCATCACCAGGCGAACAGATTCGTCCAGCTCGTAGACCGCCCCTTAAAGTAACCGCCAACATTTCGTTAGGCATTTCAATGGGTAGCCCAATCTATGCCGACTTCGTTACCATATCAGCATTAATTATAATTTAATACCTGAGAATGGTGCGGAAAAAATAGGAACCTCTTAAGTTAAAGGAAAGCACAACAGGGGAAAACGCCTCACGCTTTCCTCCGTTGTCTTTTATTTCGACTTGAAAGTTTCTTCATTTTTCCTTACCACTCTCCCAGGACTATCACCAGCTCACCTGCACACTCACTTAGGTTTTGATGTGAGAGCATTAGAACGCTCGTTTCGACGAAAACCGCCGGTGTCACTACACATAACTATATTGGGGTATCGTGTTCAGAGATTAGATGACTCAGCACGCGTGCCTACGCATGGAGTGCGTAGGTGCACCCAGAGGGTAAGAGAGGGGGAGGGTGACGCGTGCTGACGTCAGCGCTTCGGACCAATACGAGCGTCGCACAGCTGGCGCGGAGCCAGAGACCAAGAAGCTCTGCGGCGCCGTGGAATGCCCTTGGGACAGCAGGCCAGCTGAGTTGCCGCTGTGCCACGGGCGAGAGAACTAATGCTCACGCATCCTTATCAGATGAATCCCCGTGACCGTCAAACCGACTGTTCTTTTCACATAAGCATATCAACATTGAAGAAATCGTAAACAAAAAAGGACAGTGTGAATTAGACATAACACATCACCGAGACTTTAGGTAAGCGAAATACGACACACACACACAAACAGAAAACATCTCAAACACAGCTGCAATTGCATTTCACTTAAAAAAGTGCTTAAATTAAAAATGCCCCCAAACCCAGTACTTCTAGAGCTAGATACCCACTCCGAGCACAACAGATAAGGTACCATCCTCCCCTAAACCATAACTGTATCAACACACACCAACACATTAGAGAGCGAGCTAGGGTAGGAAGGGAAACGCTGGTTGGAGTGAAACACTTTGAAGAAAGAAGATTAAGAACCAGCAAGGGCAAAATTGTACAAGCTTGGTCATGCTGACAAAGGCTGGTAATTATTATAATGTCATTAATGCAAAGGTGCAAACAAGTTGGACAATAATGATATTGCCGTCCACAGGGCCGAGAAAGCAACGCTCGTAGACGGACTTCTAGAAGATTCGCGTTTATTCTGGTTCCGGTTGTAACTTTGGTCCTGCTTTTTTATTCTCGGAATTGCAAGTTCATCCTCGCCCCAAGCGCGTGACGCTTGAACCTTCTTGGCCGAAAGTTCGAGATAGTAACGCACTGTAGATAAGCAGCTGCCCGCGACTTTGTCGAGTCAGGGTCGCCTTCGCTTGCTGTTTCGTCGTCTAATCGCCGCCCGCTTTTCTGCTGCCTCCACGCTCGTTCTTTGCCTTATCTTGTTTGCCGTAAGTTCGCCGATTAAACCTTTATTTTTAGTTCACAGTTCACTGTTCGTCCTCTTGTTACCTTCGTTCGTGACAGTATTAATAATCCTGAAGTAGGGAAAAAGGGGCGACAAAGGACAAACACAAATCTCCAAACAGAGCTGGGTGACTGGTGTGCCACTGAAAAAATCCGCCTGGTCCTGGTATCGAACCAAGGACCTCTTCGTTTCCAGTGGAGGGCTGTACCAACTGAGCTAACCAGTAGCGCAAACGCCTTTTATCAGCTGCCACCAGTCTAACACCGACAAGGTTGAACAGCCTATATTTTAAGGTTATGATGATAATGTAATTAATGTAAAGGTGCAAGCGAGCTGGACAAGAATGACGATACTTTCACTAATATAAAAGTTAATAAAAGATTATGAATTAATTAGCCGACTAATCACCACGACTAGGCCCCTATTAATATGTCCCCCTGGCCGTCTAACTCACCTGCACAAACCGCATAAGTGTAGCTTTCACACCTTTACTTAAACAAATTTGTAAAGCTTAAAAAAAAAAAAAACACGCTGTCTAATAACATAAGCTACAGTCAAAAAGAATTTTCTAAACAACACCTCCCACATATTTCACATTTTTCTCCATATAATTATTCATGCATTCAATTTCGGCCGACACAAACGGGGTCGAACTCCTCACCTTATAATTCCTGCTAAAGGCCGTACTGCCACCAAATCTTTTGGCCATTGCCTTAATTAAGGTTGAGAGAAATCTCATGGCGACTAAAATAGGGTAACTAAAGGCCGTTACTCGTTAATCACTCCAAAAAGAGACGTAGAACGGGTTATTCGATACAGCGTTTGAAAACAAAACGCGATAAGTCAGCTTAAAAAAAAAACGCTTTATATTCTTGTTACACTGAATGTGACGTTTTTAAAAGCGGTATCCGCTTCTAGTACTGGTCGTCGTTAATATTTTCTCGCTTTTTAACGCGTCCATTCGGGAATAACTGAGGCTTTACTGGCATACCTTGTGCAAATCGTTTTTATGGTCTCCCGTTTCCTCGTTGTGCAAATTACCGTCCCGAGCCTTTTTGGCCATCAACACCACGAGGCAAGCACTAAAATGAGAATTTTAACTGAACAACGAACATCGCGATGTTCCCTGAAACTTTTCAAGATGACAGTCATAAAATATCAATAAATAATAATTAGGCTTTTGGACGTGTGAAGATTTTATTCCACGACCCTACCAATTTTTTTTATTAAATCCTACGGGCCACATTCACAAAATTATCAATCTCCTTTTTCCTTGACAAAAGATCGTAATGTTCCCGAGGGCTGTAATTGCCTGGGTATCTAGAACGCAGATCAATTATAAATTTGATGTTTAATTAAAAACTTTGTTATCCCAGGGAATGTCCCAGCAAGCTGGCCACGAGGTACAGTCCGTAGAACTATAGCTGGGTACTTGTGTACTGCGCGTACCCATTTAGATGAAACTAAATACCATCACCCATTACCTCATCAAAACGTAACAATACACCACTCGTTTCTCTATTTAAGAAGTAACTAGGTCGTTACTTTCTTACCAAAATAAGTAACTAGGTACGAGTAGTGGGTTACGTACAGCTCGGCACGATGGTAACAAAATTCAAATGTTTACCTGCATGTATGGACCTGTTCAAGTCGTGTATGTAGGGGAAGTGTGCCACCGAGGACGCAGGAGCTTTAAGCCCAACGGTGTAGTCACCGACATGCGCGGCCTGATGTGCCATGTACAAGAAGAGAGGCTGCCAAATGAAACAAGAAGAACAACAAAGATCTCGAAACTTTCGTTTCGCATGCAGCGGATCCCGCGACTGTCTCGCGTATACGCCGCGACCCGCTAACTCTAGCGAGAAAACTTCTCTAAATTTAGAGGGAGAATTTCTTCACTAAATTTAACGGGAATTTATTTTCGCGTGAAGTCAGAGTGTCACGCGATGTCATGGCGTCACGTGACATCAATGTGCTACGTGAAAATTCGTCCGCCAAATTTAAAGGGACGTGTGGGCTCTGCACGGACCTGGGACCGAGACACGTGCTTTCTGATCCACTGTCGTAGGTTCCTCCAGCTGGGCCGGGCTCGGGGGTGCGCCAAAATCGGCGAAAAGTCAACGGACTCGGGTCAGGTCGTGTATAGTTGTCTCCCCATGGGGTAAAACCATGGGGTAGGATCCGGGGCCCTTGATCTGCCTTGTTTCAAGCATGTTACAAATACGCGCCCCGCCGGCAACTAAGCACACACAAAGGCACCTTTGTTTTGGAGGGGGGGGGGGGGGTGAGAAGGAGCTCGACGCTTGAATAAATAGCCACCAGTGTTTCACGCATATAAGGAATTCCGCATTGGAGATTTGCTTGCTAACGACCCCTGGTATACGTCGCGTCAACGCTGCTCGGTTTACTGTCACGAGCCGTCTCATCTGGAGCACAAAAGGGTCATGGTCGAGTCCTGCTTGCGAAAGACCAGGACGTTCAAGTAGGCCAATCGGGATCCTGGATTTGCTCAATGGTTTTACTCCGTGAGGAAGTCTCGATATATATTTTGTGAAAATTTCAATGGGACATTGGGGCCCATTTGTTCCCGTTTTCGGTGACGCCAGATTCACATGGTGAATTTTGGCCTGAAAATTCGTAGCTGCGACGTCGGGCACCGCAGCTTCCCGTGGGCTTTTTTTTTTTTTTTTTTTTTTGCCCAACGAGCGACGTCATAACTGCGAAATCGCAAGTGATATCGCACGATGTGAATCATAGCTAACTGGCGCCATTCAGCTCCACATCTTTGAGAGCTCTGTCGGCAGCCATCTTCTCATCGAAACATTCAGAGAATCACAATTATTTTGATAAGATAGCAGTTAGTTCTGAAGCTATGGCATCTTGCGTAATTTATTTTCGCAATAAAAATATTTTTTTCCTTCCCTTTTGTTCTTATTCTCGTGAGTTCCGTATCTGGTACGAGGAACGGAAAAAGAATAAAAAATTTCAACCTGGAATTTACGAGAAAATGTACTTGAAGCAAAGCAAGAACACGTGACAGTCACCCGTTTCTTCGGGAACACCCTTCCAGCGGCGTCGATAGATCGAAATGATGTTTAACGCATGCCGGAAGTGACGACACTTAAAATAACTGCGCCCTTGTGGAAAAGGCGTTAACGGTCCGCAGAAAACGCGACACTTACCTTGGCTTTATCGTGAGCCTCAATTAGCGAAATGGCCCTTTTCGTAAACAACCTCGTTGAGTAATGGCCCCCTTGATCCAGAACAGGCGTCGTGTTATTCCAAAAGTCTAGTCCAACGTATGTTTCGTTATTATAGACCTGAAATCGAAAATCGCTCGCATTGTCAAGTCTGGTTCACGTACACTTGTAACTACTCACGGCCGAGTGCCTTAACAACTTAGGACCTCTTACGACGAGAGAACATACAAGCGCCCCCTACCGGGTAACCATGAAACACTTAGCATTACCGTATATTTCTTCCTGCTTTTTTTCCCCCATTTGTATTTCTTTCTTGGCTTTAAAAGCCTATGACAATGTTGTAATCGATCATTTCTCATAAATTGTACGTACTATCGAGTACAAATGTAATGCAAACAGCTGAACGCGCGGTCCACGATACATGTTGCACGCGCAGCCTGGAGGCTGATAAACCTGCAGACCGGAGAGAGGGTATGCACGAATACTTTACAAGGGGAATACATTCCCCTACCCGATAATACAAAGGCCTCGGTAGGAGTGTCGCGAACTTTTGTCGAACCGGATTTTTAGGTCGAACTTTCGGGGTTCAACTGAGTCGAACCGGTTCGAAGAAACCTTCGAACTTTTCACCAGAATCGACCGGTTCGACTTTGTGGACACTGTGGCCAGACCTTGATACCAGCATGTCTAGGTTTGGAGAATTTTTTTTTGTATGCAATGGTTTATTTTATTTTATGAACAGTTGCAATTAAAATAAATCAATTCTTATCACTGAAGAAGTTAATAACTTAATTTTTTGTACTGAATTAACTGAAAGAACCAATCAGCGCTGCCCTTGATTCATCCCTTAGCCATCACCATCCAATCCGAAGCCAACTGGCCTGCCTGTCGCGCATGCGCACACGAGTCGAACCTCGATACAAGGTTCGCCGAACTTTTCACTAAAAGGTCGAAAAAGTTGAACCTGGTCGAACTCGAACCCCGGCCGGTTCGTGACACCCCTAGGCATCGGCGCGGACAGGTTTGGCGCACTTTGAATGGCTGGATGATCGGCCACCTTGGGCTTTTCCGGACTGAATTGGGAGTGGGGGAGGCGCCACCTATTGTCATGGAAGTCTCGATTATCAGGCATTCGCCGCCGGCGGTGAAGAGCGCGCCGCAGGCCGTTCGGTCAATACAAGTGTTTGCTCAATATGTGTCGTAGCTCCAGTCAGACTTATGTGCGGTATTTCTTTTACAGCGGAGCTGTTAAGGACTAGTCTCCCCAGGATCGTATCCCCCGCAAAGAAATGAGGACACTAAACTCTGGACACCTACCGCCATCTATGAGCGACGGCGTCAAGCCACGCACCCGGTTGCCGCCGTCGCTCATAGATGGCGGCAGCATTTCCACTCTGGACGAGACGGCTGAGCACTTGATACTCTACTGTAAAGGGCTTCACCCTATGCCTACCGAAGACAACATAGATTTAATAAAGTCATTGGGTTTTAGAGACAGCGAAGGGAGAGTGGATTTCAAGACTGTAGAGATTACCAAGCAAAGATTAAGTGAATGGTGGCAGAAATCGAGAGAAAACTAGGTATTTTCTTAATCACTGATGGCAAGGGGGTTTCATAGCCTCACTTTCTTTGCACTGCGGAGTGAATATAGATTTCACATTTAAATATTCTAAGCTTAAATGGTAAAACAAAATGGCTAGGTGGCGTAAGCTACCGCCCGATCCAAAGGGCTCAGCCGTATTCATCCATCCATCCATCCATGGCTTGCTGACTAGCGGACGGCCATTACTTTCCACTTTACAGCTCCGCTGGCTCCGCTGGTCTTCCTTCTTCACCAAAGTGGAAAGGCTAAAAGTTGTTGTTTTTTTTCAACACAAAACGTGTTTTATTAAGCGAAATTTATTTCTAAAAATTATTCCGAAACATCTTCATGAAAGAACAAAAAAGTCACGAAAAACTAATCTTGTGTAATTTTGATGTTATAGATAAGATTAAGCTGTTTACTATTTTCCACTTGTTCCTTATTTTCGTCTGGTCCTGTGCCTCTGTTCCCCCCTTTTTCCAGTGTTGAAAAAAAATGTGCTCTTGTGTACCTGGCGGCGCCAAGTTGCCCCATGTGCGCCAAGACAGTGTTATAAAGACGTGGAAACAGCAAAGTGTGCAAACCTGTGGTCACCGAAACTTAGCAAACGAAGGGCCTCGCTCAATATGTTAATTCCCTCTTCTCGCTTCGCGATTGGTCCTTTTGCGTTCCGATTGGCGAATGCTGCAATCCCATTGGCTAAGGAGCGATAATGAGATGCTGGCCCCAGGCCCTGCCCCTCCTTTCTTAAGTTGTCGGCGACGGTATAGTAAGTGTCCTCACCGCAGCGAACGTGTGCGTGTAGTAGTCTTCGCCCCCGTTGTAGTAGCCGTAGAAAGAATCGAATCCCCTGTAAGTCGGCGTGAAACTTTCCTTGTAGTAACCTAAATTCCACTGCAAAAAAAAAAAAGACATGTCTTTTGTCGGGACCCGACATTTGATCGAATGTCGGTTCGTCGCACTCCGTTTCACCGAACGCCATTTCATCGAAACCGATTCGTCGAACGCCGTCTCATCGAAACTGGTTCTTTCCTATGCGGCGAGCAACTGCAGAGAGAGGCGGAGACGGGAGCGCGCGGGGGTCGTCGTAATGCCGAGCTCGGGTTGGTACGAATAGTGGGTAGACCTAAAGCTATAGCCGCCTTTGTCTGCCCCGCACTAATCAAACGCTTTAGAACTCGGAACGCCGGCGTCTGGCGTTTGGCTCTCGCATTCGCCATTCAACCTATAAAGTTTCGAAGGCTTAATCGTTTCCCACAGCGTGAGGAAGATTTCCTCCACGAATGTCTGTTATCTTGCCCGCCATATTATTTTTTTTTCTTGTGGAGGTAGTTTTCTGGTGTGAAATTGACACCTTAGAACCGCTGTTGATTTAGGTAAAAGCTATATGCTTTCACGGGGTAGTCATCAGTGCGCGTGTATACTTTCGAAAACACGGAAAAAGAATGAGTGGTGAAACGTAATAGCCGCAGTCCTGCTGCTTATGCATCATAGAAAAGATAATGTGTTCGCTGTAGACACGAGTATCCGCGCACACGACTCCCGCATGCTCGAATCATGTCTGATTCATGTTCTCAACATGTCTGCAGGCAGTGTTTGCATGACTCCAAGTGACATGGTCGTCATGCAAAGAAAAAACACGCCTGAGCCAGTGTCTCCATTTTGTATAATGTGGTTAGCGAGTTGTCATCACACGGTAAAAAAAAAACAGATGTGGGAGGGCACACTACACGCTTCTTTTTTTTTATACATAAAATGCCACAGATTAAAAGATGCACGAAAGGACTTGATGAAGCAGCCATCAGCAGTTCCATTTAAAGGCGTTTGATGAAATGTCCAAAAAACATTTTTGTGTGTGTGTTATTCCTGCGACAGTTCAAATCAATACAGACCTTTCCAACCAGGTGACTAGTGTAGCCCAGATCTTTCAGGTGCTCAGGTATGATTGTGAAATTGTGCGACAGGCCCCGCGGTTCCGCTTCCAGTAGGAGGGAATGCTGCAGCCCTGTTGAACGGCGAGATCATTCATTAGAGTTTAAAAAAATGCTGAGGGTCAATGAACACTCAGTCAACGCTTATGTCACGTTTGGCTCCTTCAAAAGGGCACGTCACATAGTACCTGATGGGACAATTATCTGAGCCAGACTGCCCCATCAGCTAGCGGCATTCTTTATGGCCTTTGCTCTTGCTTAGAAGCATTGAAATTTGTCCTTTTCTAGCAGCGCCCTTCCCAGTACACTGCATGAACAATCCTGAACAACTGTTCCGACCAGCATATTCGAAACTGTGTGTCAATATCCTCGTACAAAATAATTGCAGTGCAGTGATTTAAATAATATTGGCTATGATGAAAAAACTCTAGTTTATTAATATTATTTTTTTTTTCAGAAGACGAAGAGGAACAGGTGTTTTGCGTAAGTTCCTGCAGGCAGGCGGCCTCAATGCCTTAGAACTAACTAATCGTAGAACTCTTTCAATTCGACCCGGGCGCGAAGAAGCTAACACGGTGAGATTGGGGTGCCTTTTTAGAAGAGGTATGGTCGCAGCAACCTAACCGAGCTGAGGTGGGAGGAAGTCCTCAGAGAGCGCACCTTTTCACTCTAAAGCTGCATTCACATTGTCCTTAGCAGTATGCACGGTATGGTGCCTGGAGTGCGTCTCCGACTGCTGTGTTGAGCGTCCTATCCCGCCCACGCTTCAAAAGTTGTCCCGAAGTGGCAATAAATGACTTCACAGAAGCCGGTCATGCTGTCGGATGTCGCGATCCTGGCGGTTGGTGGTAAACATGTTGGCTAGAAGCACGATCGAACGTGAGTGTCGCTGTCTTCACGGCGTCCCAACTTCTGGCTGTTGAAACTTCCGTGGACTGTCACGCTGGAGGACAGCCTGGAGCAGAACAGGCGTCGGCCACATCTACCACTCCTGCTGGGATACCGCTAGGATCGCGACCGGCGACAGCGTGACGCTTCTATGACGTCACCTGGTGGCAACCGAGGGACCGCTTTTTGGACGCGGTAAACAATAGCCGGACGCGTGTTCGAGGCACATTACCGAAACCGAAACACGAGCACGGAGGCTCATGGCCAAAAGTTATGTAACTAAACCCGACCGCGTTTTTTTCAGTTTTTTTTTATTGTGTGAAGCAGACGACGGACAAACTTGCGTGCACCGTTTGTCGTGCGATTGTTTCGCACTTTTATCATTTACGCTCGATGTTCTGCGCTTGAAGATCGATTGACTGGTACCACGAGCGACAGTCGCGAAGTAGCGGCTCCACGCCCGTCGCAACCAACGTTACTAAAACACTCAGTTGGGAAACTCGCGGTCAAAACCTGGGCCGCTGGCGTCCACCGGGACCGAGCTAAATGCGACAACAGCGCCACTCTTTATCATTTGTTTGTACTGTGGTCACCTTGAGCTTTTAGAAAGCATGTTTTTGCGTAAAAACAAACGGAAAAGATTCTTTTTGTATGAAATTTATTGGAGTTTAGTACAAAATGAAGGGCGCCTGATGTTTTTAAAAATTTTAGTTTCCAAGGTTTTGCGGCATAATTAATATTGTTTTTATACAACCATGCCTCAACGATGCTTTCAGGTAGCGCGTCCCGACCTAGGTGCATTTTAACTTCGATGGTAATTCGCGGCGCGTCCGCTGGGGAGACGGGGGTGGCACCTCTTCCGCTGCATCTGTTTCGGCGCCAAAATAGCCGATTAAAGTTAAAATAGACGTCACGTGCAGTTCCTCGAGTGGCCGCTGCGGGAGAAATGGCGGCGTTGTGTTCGCCATTAGCTCGGTGCTCGAGGACAGATCGGGGACACTTTTTCAGAGCAGTCTCTATGGCAGTTTCCCAACTGAATGGTTTAGTAACGTTGGTCGCAACGTTGGTCCGTCGTGAGCTTCCATCGCGTCGTCCAGCCCGCGGTACGTCACATATTGTGAATGGCGTGAACATGTACAGGCTGTCCACCCCCCCCCCCCCCCCCCCTCCGCCCACCAAAAAAAAAGCAATTTTTTTTTTACCGCAATTATTAACTACATATCGCCGAACGTTCATTCTCCCACAAATAGAGAGGTCCCAACCAGATGCAAAGCTTTCAGCATGAACCGGTATAGTTATTCAAAAGTTTTGCGATCTTTTTTTTTTTAATTCAATGGGAAAATGGCGCTCATTTTCGCCCGTGTTCGGTTTTTGGCTCAATAGAGCGTCATGTATTCGAAAGTTCCGTTGGCCGCCATTGTCTTACGAAAATTTCCAGAAAATCACATAGCTTTTGAATAAGATATCGGTTGGAGCTGAAACGTTGGCATCTCGTTCGGACCTCTAGCGCTACACTTGGGCCAACAATGGGCGTTCGGCGTTGCGTGGTTTATTTTTGCGATAAACAAGATACCTGCAAATGTGTTGTACTTCAACTAACCTGTACTTCAAGTAACCTGTAAAATACTTGTACTTCAAGTAACCTGCGCAACATTTTTTTTATTTTTCAGGGACGTATTTGCAGATTTTGGAGGCCACAAAAAGATGGGGTTAATATTCTTTTCTAGTTTTAAATGTGTGCCTAGATTACCCACGACTTTGATTATATTTGGTGCACATAGTTTGAAGTTTGAGCGCCACCTGACCATAAAAGAGAGAGCTTGAGCGCGACTGAAATTTACAGATTCGCGACCGGCTGTTTTCGGGCGAAAAGAAAAGAAATTTCGAGCCGCAAAATGGGTTCTCGTTAATTGGGCTTTGATATTATACGCTTTGCAGCAGCTGTGCATGAGCGCCGATATAACCGACCTTCAATTTTCGTTTCCTCTTATTACGTTTCATTCACTTCATCATTGCCACAGCAGGACAGGTTGTTGCCATTTTAGGTCCGACTGCAACCTTCTCCCCAGCATTGGTCTTTGTGGAGGCTCGTCAAAGCCCGCGGCGGTAGCTTGGCATCTCGGTAAAACAAGAGAAGGTCAGCAGTGGCGGCTGCATTCTGGCACGTGTGCAAAGCGTCTAAATAAAAACCTTGGCAAGCATAAATACCCTATTATTGTCTTTTTAAGACTCAATGGCAGGGCTTCTGCCTGCACAGAGAAAGCCCAAAATTTCATCGAATGTGCACTGAGCAGGTCAAATTTGTCCTGGAAAATTTTCAAGCGCAGTCCTCTTTCTTTAAAAAAAAAATGTGAGCAAAATGCTTGCCAAATGTTAAAGTCGGGCGCGTTCGTGAACGACCGAGTTCGCGACACCATTTACATCTGCGGTCATCTCCCGATAGGTGCAGAGAGCAGGCGACAGCGTGCGTCGTCTGCTCGCTGCGTCTATAGAGAGATGGCGCCACAATTTAATAGCGTCGCTGTCTGTCGTCTGCGAACACGGCCAAACTTGACTTTGGCAAGGTTTTTGGTCCCAGTTTTCGCAGGAAGAGAACTGCGCCTTTTGAGTTTCACACGTTAAAACTGACCTGCTCAGTGCCCATCCGCTGAAAGTTTCAGCTTTTCTGTATGCAGGCCCCGCTTTTTCCGGTTTGTTTTACAGAGGAATAGGTCAATTTGGGACGCCCTATCCGTGTGTTGGCACCTGTTGTCTTGTAATTTGTTCTTCGGTGCCCTCATTGGCAAATCTCTCAATCTCATTGGTTGTGGAGACATGCACGGAACAAGCCATGCCCTGCATTTCTTATACTGTCACTGACGACCAATAAAAAAAACAAAAAACAGCATCCATAGTAGAGCTGGGGTCCTAAGATAGGCCGTCCTCTCAAAGCTGTATGAATAGGGTAGAGGCCAGTCATGAGAGCACCCCTGGACGGAGTACAGGAAGGCAGCACGTAGTAGTTGTTCAGGATGATTCCCGACGACGCCAGAGCGTCCAGGTTCGGGGTCGGTATCTGCGGGTTGCCGCGGAAACTTGTGTCCGCCCATCCCTGCCAGGGTAGGTCGCGGTAGTCAGAAAGTTGGTGAGATATAAGGCGATATATGTCTATATATATCTATATACATTTCTAGGTTACGCCCTCTAAAGATGCAGGTCGCACCACTTTGACATCGTACAAAAAGACAGCGGGTTCGCGGCAGACATGAAGAGGAAACCGTCTCCGGACACCACCTCAATCATGTTGGAAATATTTTTCCTTGACGCGTACGAATGGTTCGAACATGTATGCAGACTGTCTTTCTGTCTTTTGGATCATATATCGGCAGTGTGACCGCGCGGCATGAAACGACCGACAGCCACTGTCAACTTAACAAACGCCGAGCGAGGCGAGTCCCTGCGCGTACACTAGAGCGCTTCTAACCCACTTTAGACGGCCTGCCAAAAATCGGTTTCTAAACGTATCACGTTGCGATTTACTACAGAGGTGCGGCCAGGTGGTGAAAGCGTTGAGTTCAAATATCAACGAATTAACTTAACTGGTTCGGAAAAAAAAAACTATTTTGGTTGTTTGCCGCAGCATTCGCAGACGACGTCAAGAGTATGTGCTACCCAAAGGGGGCGCAACGGGAAACACGAGACCATAGAGTTATTACAATAAACGCTAGAGGCTCAGCTGGCGCTAGTGTGCTGTTGCAAATTGAAGCAGACAGTAAGCAGTCCGAAATTGACTTCCGGTAATGCATTTCTACGGAAAAAAGCGAGTGCATTTTCTCCCTGCGCTCGATTATAAGAGCAAATATCACGAACAAATCGTACCTACTAGGCACATTAGAACATTTCCCAGACACGCAGATGAAATATTTGGTCAGTTACGGCGTTTTTATTTTAAAATCGTGGCATGAAAAACGGTGCTAAAACCGCTTCGTACATGTATTTATGTGCACTGTCGGACACTGTTAGCGCGAACACGGCGCCGGCGCTTTCCAGCATGGGGGTATATGTGCCAAACGAACGAAGGACATGTGGAAAACCAAGAGAGACGGCAAGAATTACGCAGTAACACTGGATAAGTAACTCCTTGTACTTGCAGACGATAAAAATAAATTGAAAGTCACATAATATAGTCCGATTTACAATAAATAAGTACTGCTTTATTCTTTCTGCTCATGAATACATGCGAAGATGCTTGTTCTGTGTTCAAATCATCACCCGCACGCTCCTAATTTTGCAAATAGGGGAAATCAGAGAACAGGTGCGCGATAAAAACTGCCCAACATGGGAAATAATAAGAAAATAACCTTTCGTAGCCCACGTACTTTATTCTTTACGTTTCGAACGTTTTTTTAACCACTCGTAAAGATGCACGACGGGGGCATTTTCATATAGTGAGCTAGGACAGGCATATTAGCAATATATAAGCACCAACGGAATGCTGGCGAACTTTGAACACACTCTACATTCCTTTCGATCGTTATTTTGCTTGGAATCGTCGCTCGTTTCTACATACCTGCCATGAAACAGAGGTTTGGGCCTGAAATTTAGCGAAGTTTAACATCGCTCAGTGGTAAAGGAAAAAGGCTGTAACTAAAGCAATTACACTTTCAAAATATTAAAATAAAGGTACATACTATCTGGTACAACCGAAATAACAAAAGTTATTAATGTTATTTTCCGGCGACGAGACAAAATTCACGCGCGTTTTCCCATAGGAATACACAGGAAGACCGGAAAAGTAGACTGCATGCTGTCTGCTTCAATTTGCAACCGGAAGTCCCGTAGACACTAGCGCCAGCTGAGCCTCTAGCGTTTATTGTAATAACTCTATGCACGAGACTAATGCAACGCCTCGACCGATCGTCTATCCGTTCCAAAAGTAGTGATCCACGGGAAATTTCATTTTCTCTTTGTCTTATGGAATTTATTTCTTTAATAAATAAATTACCGCAGAATTAGAATTTAACATTAGAGAGGCGCGCGCTGACATAGTAAAATGTTTCCGAAGATCGTCTGCTAAGCTTGGCGCGACGCTTCCGACTGTTGTCAGCGGCGGATGTAACCAGGCGAGCCCGGAGTCATGACATCGCCTGCGAAGGCCACGGAAGATAACATAAAACGGGTTTCTATCTTTTCTTTTTTTAACAAAGTAAGCTATTCTGTTGATATTTGTACACCATGCTTCCACCACCTGTTTGCACGACTGTAGTGAATCACAGCGCAACACGTTGAGAAACCGATATTTGCGGGCCGCCTAAAGTGCACTGGAAGCTTTAGCTTACATGTTGTATTATCGCTTTTGTGTCAATAGCATTGCGGCATTTCGTACACTTTTCTTAAACTGTCACTAAACAACATTGTTTCCCATCGGCCACACAGGTGCCGGAAGTTGGCCCCACGACGGTTTGGTTAGACGAGATCAAATCAGTGTCTATTGAATATTAATTTATAAAAAAAAAACGTTGACTTATTAAGGCTGTCAAATTATTCAATAACCTTGCAGTGGTTCTTTCCTCTTCGCAATATTAGTGGGTGTTTGGACGGAAAATTAATCGCGGTTTCCTCGCCTTGAATTCAAGCCCGCCAACGCTCAATACCTCCGCCCACATGTATTGCTAGCGGTTCGTACTAGAGCCACTAAATTAGCTGCGCTTAGAGTATCGGGACTCCGTCCCCCGACATTGTTCTGGCCGCCGCCATTTTGGCTCGTATGCAGAGCAGACTCAACTGCCGATCCTCATGATTCAGAAGTGCGACTTCCTCAGCATTAGATGTGGTGTTAGGAAGCTCATGTAATGTTGCTTTGCTCTGTCGCGGACTGTTTTAACATTTCTAGAGGGCGGAAAAGCGTTTCCTGTGATTTCAGATAAAACTTCAGATAACTGGCGACCATGATGTTAGAACACAACATGGCCAAGTGTCGTTACTCTGAAGCGTAGCTTATTTAGTGGCTCTAGTTTGTGCTATACTCTATTTTAGGAGTTGTGTGTATCAAAGGCAAAGGCAGAGGCGCGGGCACATAACTTTCAGGTTTGCTTACCTTTCGCGAGTGCTCGTGAAAGGAAAGCAGGCACGCGCGCGCGTGTGCTTGTGCCCCTGCTACACGCAACTCATGAGATGGAGTACGGATGACAAAATTTTAGAAATTACCGTTATCTAATTAATAAACAAAACGTTAAAAGAGACTTTCGGAAATATTCAATAAGGAAATGGTCGCCAATTGCGCCAGGACTTTGTGGAGATGAAGGGTGAAAGCTACTAAAACGCGCCATATTTCGTTTTTTTTTTTTTTTTTTTTTTTTAAATTTAAGCGTTAAGCAACTTTGGCTTATGGTTCGGACCTCTAGTGCTATATTTTGGGCCGAGACAGGGTGTTCTGCGATACTTTCGCAGTAAGAAAAAACAGGGATTATATTCTCTTCTTTTTTTTTTTCTTTTTCCTTACACACACGGTACTTGCGCCGATTTTAAGTTCTGGTACTTGTAAACATATAGAACACGAATCCACCAAAAATAATCTGTCCGGATGATTCGGTCCACATGCACGGCTGGACATGAACTTCTTCGAACCAAAGCGACGCCTCGCGTGCTTTCTAGAAGTTATGTAACAATATGTCTTTTTTTTTTTTTTAAGGTAGAAGTTAATCTGAGGCAGAGCTCAGACTTAGATTAGTTTAAAGGGGCATTATTTGATCCCCAGTTCATTTATTCTTAGCGTGTCCTGAATTTTGGTTTTTCTCTCTTGTAGCCTCACTCTTTTGTAAGGGCTTTACGCCACATATTTCGCTATAGGGAGTATTCACTGGCGGCCATATCCGTGTGCGTTGCTGCTGAACGCGTGCTGACGGCGAGCTTCCGCAGTCCTTTTGGAGCGTGCATTTAGCACCATCAAGGTTGCCGGTCTTAGCAGGCTATTAATGTGAGCTTGTTCTGGGCATGCGCTCTAAACAGCACCCTCAAATATGACGTCCAGTGAATACCTCCTATAGGGAGTATTCACTGGCGGCCATAGCTGTGTGCGCGAATGCTGAGCGCGTGCTGATGGCGAGCTTTCACAGTTCTTTTGCAACGTGCATTCCGCACCATCAAGAGTGCCGGTCTTAGCAGCCTACTGTTGTGAGCTGGTTCTGAGCATGCGCTCTAAACAGCATCCACAAATATGGCGTCCAGTGAATACTCCCTATACACGAAGCCAGAACACATTCAACATCTTGTAGATAATCCCGGTATATCTTTTTTTAACCTGAAAAAATTAGAAGAGTGGAAAAACATCCTAAACTCCTAACCTTGCAAGCAGGATTCGTTTCATTAAAACTTGGGTTTGGGCTAGTTGGTCCATTACTGAATAAAAAGTTAAAAAGCGCGAACAAACGAGGACAAAAAAGAAACACGGACGACAGGCCTGTCCTGTCGTCCGTGTTTCTTTTTTGTCCTCGTTTGTTCGCGCTTTTTAACCTTTTATTCAGGATTCGTTTGTTTGTTTTTCATAATAGTAAAATGTTTAAACAAAAGTTGCTATCTTGCGAGCAGGTTTTGTTTGTTTGTTTTTCATAACAGTAAAATGTTTGATAAACACTGCTATCCACTGTTTCAGTAATCAGTCCAGATGGCAGCTTTACAGCCCAGCATTTGCGCATCCGCTGCCTCGATAAGTGAGGAAAAACAAACGCCATACGCACAAGCGCTCAAAATGCCAGCTGTCAGAAGTTCTTCAATAAAATGTTTTTTTGTTTCCTGAGAAGATGGGAACGGTGGGGCGTCTATAGAGACTTTTAGCAAACCGTTACAATGTTCCGCGTGCCGCACTACCAGAGCCTTTGAAGCACGGGAACCGAAATGGCGTGGCCGCGAGCTCTCTACCTCTCAACGTAATTAGGCACCTTGGCGTCAAGGCGCCTCGTGACGTGCAGAGGCCCTTGACGTACCGAGGAGCATTGTGCTCGTGACGTCAAGAGCCTCTGCACGGCCAAGAGCGCTGCAGTTGCAAGCATTGCCGTTTGGTTGAGTAAACGCGTGACAATCTCGCCTAGTAGAAGTATCCAAGGACTGTACGCT